TGTACTGAAGTGCAATTCTTTAATTAAAAACAGAGGCGCAGGGAACCCAGAACAAACTAGCAATCCTCCCACAGGGTGCAACATGTGCATACTTTTCTGTGCTGACTGTTAGAGCACACAGTCCTAGGATATCTGTAGGATCAGGGCTCTGTCTGGCCAGGAGAACGGATTACTTCGAACCAGGCAAGATAGGGTGCTGCGCCTGGGTCTCCGGCGTGCCCAGCTAGGTGGTGTCGGAGAGCAAATCTCAACCCCCCAAACGTTTTTTTTCCTTGTTAGATTGCCCTTGAAAACGGTTCTCTTTCAGCGAGACTCAGTTTTAATTAGTTTGAGAAAAGCTCTGATTAGCTCTGAGCAGTAAGGTTTTTGCGGCCACCACGGACATCCCACAGACCTGGAGGGCCCCGAGGCTCACAGGACTGGCAGGATGCCCAGGGGAGGCCTCCGGCTGTGGGAGAGGGATGCCGAATTTTCCACTTGAGGGCACTATAGGAGAAGTGAATAGTGAGGACTAGGCTTTGTGAGCTGGAAGGAAAAGAGCACTTTGTGGAGGAAAGCATGGACGCAGGCATGAAACAAGGTGAGAAGCAGACTTGGCACATCCTGAAAGGCTGAGAGGATGAAAGAGGAGGAGAAGCGATGTGAGGGATCGGAGATACAGGTCTATCTGTTCGAATGGAAATGCAATATTTTTTGTGCAAGATTTCACTCTTGTACTGAGAATAGTAACAACCACAGGACACTGAAGCATTTTAGGTCAGTGGGGTATTTTCTTCACCATTTTAATATGACCTCTTACCTGTCCAGAACAGGTAAATCCACTTGCGGGGATGCAAATAAGTATTCTTTTTCTGTTTGCTATTCTATAAATCAGTCAATGGCAATAGCTATTCCCTGCTTTGTGGCTGAGCAGGGAGGCTTAGTGTGAAGCTATTTCATGTCACCTGCTGACTGGCAGGCAGGCAATCATGGGCCCTCCCTCTACAGCCCATCAGACTTTAAAGATGTGCTTTGTCATGAATACAGAGGCTCTTGGCCCTAAGTGCTATTCATAGGACTAATGGTGATAACTGCAGCCATTTAAGCCAATGTAAAGCTCAATTACTAGATGTTTGCACATAAACTGTTCCTCTCACATCTACATGATAACTCTCTTGACTGATGCCAGTTGAATATCTTATGGTCACAGAACAGTTGTTCATATCTCTATAATAAATAAACTGGGATCGGCAATGGGAAAAATCACAGCAGAATGTTCTTGCAAGTCACACTAAAGTTTGTGCCTGTATTGGAGATCTCATATAAGAAAATCTACCACGGTAGACATAACCAGAGTGATGCTATGAAACAAGAATTAATACAGAAGGCTTTGTTAAACAACAGGTTTATATAGGTTTATATATAGATACACACACACACACACACACACACACACACACACACACACAAAAGCTTAAAAAAATTAAGAAGAAATATAAATTCCTATGCAGTAAGTTGCAAGAGGAGAGATATATGATCCTATGAATAAAGATTAGGGCAAGAAACAGTAACTAAAATCCTTTCCCTTCCATCTCTCCCCCTACACATATAAACAAATAAATAAAAATAGAATGATGATAAATTATAGCTTAAACTAGAAAGAAAAAAATAGAGATATTCTATTTTTCCTGCATTTTTATTGCGTTACTCCTGAAATTATACTGGAAAACACATAGGGTTAAACTATGATCTTACTGAAATTGATGGCGAAATTTTACTCCCTGTGAGATTTTTCACTCTAATGCCAAGCATTTATTTGAAGAGCCTGATGGACGGCCTCCTTATGCAGTCAGTGAAGAAAAAAAGATTTAAGTTTGCAATATTGATATTTGTTTTCTCCCGATTCTTTCAGGTTTGTACAAGTACAGAGAAAGAATGACTTGAACTCTGAACAGTGTTTTTCACAGGCGCGGCTAAACATACCCAAAATAAAAGTGATTTAGAAGAGAATGAAAAAGAGCTGGTTATATGTTTCTGTTTCATTGACAGAAGTCAAAAAGCAGTTAGAAAGAAAAAAGTTCTCTCTTTTATTTGCTCTCTTTTAGATTTGTAATTAGTAAAAATTCCCACTATGGTGCTAAGACAAAGCAGTTAGTTACCTTCCCAAGTTCAGCCATGAAATAAATGCTTTGAAGTATCCTTTACAAATCAGACAGATAGATAGAGTATATACTCCCACCTCAAGCTCATTTTGCCTGATTTTTGCGTGAAATGCCTAATGAGAATGGGACTGAGCAGGGAAGTTGATAAACTCCCGCTACTGAAGAAAGAGCAGTTGTGATGGCTCAGTCACAGTCTTCAGTCACTCTTAACGCTAGGTGAAAACAAGTTTAACCGTGTCTCTAGTCAGAGTATCTTTTGGCAGTCTGACTGCTGCATTAAACACATTTGAAGCAGATTAAATGCGAGGAGCTTGTTGCTTTAATGGAGCCTTATGGATCAAGCAGGGAACTGAATGTTCAGCGATGTTCCCAGAGATGCTCCGACGGGAATCCTGGGAGTCACAAAAATGAGTTACTGACATTTGAATAATATGCTTAATTTAATTTTGCTTAATATGGGTAACTTAATTTTGCTTGTCTGGGAAAATCATGGCCCTAAAACAGAAAAGCTGAGGATTTCACCATTAGAGTTTGTATATAAAAATGTCACAGGCTTAATTCACTGTGCTGTGTTTTAATTTAGTGCCATGGCCTCCTGCAGGAACACACTGAAATTGGCTCTAAGCTTAAGCTAGTAACTGTCCATATTAAAGTAAATCAAATCTAAATTAATGTAACAAAACTGATAGCAGATGAAAAACTGTATCAACTAAGGTGAGGTAAAAATAGCCACTAAATTGGTGTTACGTGTATGCTCTGACAGAACTAGGGCAGATCATTGGCTCCTTTTTTCCAGACAAAACATTTGTGTTCCTTTCTGAAAGATATTTTAGCTGCTGACATGCTGCAGAGTTGTAAGAAGACACTGAGATTGTAATAATTCTGGTGTTAATAAAGATAGGCAATAAGCATTTGAAAATTTCTTTTGTGAAGGCTGTAGTGCTCATAAAAGTGCAGCGCTCTTCTCATAAAGTGGACTGAAGACATATAGAGATTACGTAGAGCAGCACTAAGGTGCCATATAGGCACTGAATGTACTGAAGTGAAGACCATAGTTTAAAGTGCTAGGGAAAATTATACAGGGAAATGGGATTGCTCAAGTTAAAATTTATTTCATATACCACCATGCTCGTAGTCCCTTTTCAAAGGAAGAGATGGATGATCTGCAAGAAGGACCTCAACAGGGGGTTGGATTTATGTCTCATCTAAAATAAATGACATTTAATGCCTTTCCTTGGTGAGGAAGGAAACACAAACTTAAGAGTAGTGGATGGTCTTGGTTAATGTATAGAGGGTCATGGGTTCACACTGTGGATGAGACCTTCAATTTGCCTGCAAGGGGGAAGCTACCTACTGAACAGCTTCTCTCCGGTGTCTGTGCTCTGCTTGTAAGCTCCAGTCCAAGGAAAGCATAAGGAGTTACGTGGAAATCAATATAACATGAAGGGAAAGCAGAGGGATAAAGGAGAAGCAACACAACTAGGATAAGCTGATGCACAAGTATAAATGAAAATTATTTCATTTGAATGTGAAAGGAGTAGAGGAAATGTCAAAATAAAGTGACTGACTGCAACTTTTTGTTTCTTAGGAAGTCAGTAGCTGACCACCTTCCTCTGTCATTACCCCTGACTTGGGGTCAGCTGGCTTTCATCAAGCAAAAAACGGTTCCGATTCAGACAGACAACCAAATACTGTGTTGCTTGGTAGTTCATGTTTTTCTTTCAAATTAAGATGCACTTAATTTGCAAGATGATTCAGAGAAACATTTGGTAGCTTGCCTTACGTTAGAAAAGCGTTGTATGATCCAGGGGGCCTGATGGAGATAGAGATGAAAGCAGCTCCAGTTACCCTTTTCGCTCCTCTCCTGAACTCTTACCTGTTCCTTAGCTCTTCCTTAGGCATTTAGAGGAGCGCTGGGATTGTCCTCTCCCATACTCTGGATTTCCTAGTGCATGGGACTGCTGGGGTGGAAAAGCAGGAAGGACTTTACAAATTTTCTACATTAGGAATTAACCAGGGGACAGCCAGTGAGTGTGCATGTGTGCAAGAGCGTGCTCCTGATGAGGGGCACAAGTCTTGCTCCAGCCCTTTGAACAGCACAAAGCGGTCAAGACTGGGTAACAACAGCAAGGATTACAAAGGAGTTTGTTGCTGGTACAATTACTGAGGCTTCTCATGCAACCATCCAAGTAAGGACCAAAGATGCATCTAAATTTAACTGGTCTAGTATGGGTTTTAGCACTGAGGCCTCAGGATGTCTTAAAAGTTACTAAGAAACTTCAGCTGCTGATCCTCAATCGCATTTACTTTGGGCTCCATTGGCTACAATGGGGTTTAGAAGTCTACATGCAAACACCAAACATAGGAGTGTTAACACGGAGCTGAATTCCACCCTTGCATATCCCAGGAAAAAATAGAAGGGAAACAGGTAAGGGACAAAAAACAACTAAAAACAAACAAACAAACAACCCTTCTTTATGCTCCCAAACTCATGTGTGTTCTAAATCACATAACTATTCCTCCTCTACCATTACCTTTAAGGCACACTTCATCTAAACCTAACTTTATTTACATCATCGCCTCTCCTAGTCAAACGTACCCTAAAAATTCTCTCTTCTAACCTACTCCTCACAAATTATTCCTCTTTTCCTGACACTAAGACACTGCATCTCTGTTAGACAGGGCAGAGATTAGGATGAAGTGCACTAAGCAAATCATAAATTTGAGCCCTTTGATTTTAACTGCTGCTTCTAGAATATGGAGACCATTTCTCTAACCGTTGCCTTTAGCTGCTAAAAGTTGGTAGTTTTAAAGAACAACTTTAGGAACAATATTTTGGATCATATAAAGTTTATTTACTTAGTACAGAAAAGTTATATTACAATATATACAGTTTCTATTTACATATACACCTTTCTGTTATATGAAGCACCATATGATACAGTTAGTGTTTTAGAGGAATTTACATAATTCTTATTTCTGCATCCTAACACTTGCATCTACAGACACACATCGGTTAGAACCAAGTGCCCTTAAGTCATGGACTTCAGTGGGTTTTGGACAGGCTACTAGTGAAGCTGCCAAGGAGAAATTTAATTGCTATCAGCTATCAATCTCCTGTACTTCAGGATTAGAGATCTTAGTTTTGTCACTTCTGGGGCTTTGTGCAAACTGAATCCTCAGAGAAAGTCAAATATACAGATAGAAAATATTCTATAAGCCACAAGAATTCAACACTCTCATCAGTAAGATTTTTACTGTCATCGGAAACAAAATTTCATTAGAATGGAAGAAGAATGCTGCGTAAGTGTTTATACATATTATGCAAACTGAAGTTAAGCATCTGGAGGCTTACGCGATACAGTATCAGGCATTCCCCAAGGAATCTATTTGCTATTAAAGAAAGAGCCCAGTTTGCTGGCCACTGAAGTCAGCAGCCTAATTCCCATAACTCATAATTCCCATGGAGAGAGACTAGCTGTCACCTAATTATCTTTACACCACTGCTAACAAAAAAAGAAGGCTCTGTCCAAGGTACAAAATTTCCTTCAAGTGAATAAAAGACATTTGGAGGGGAGAAATGTAAAATGAGGTATTTAATAAACTACAGAACAAAAGAAAGTGTCTAGACTGTTGGAAAAAATCCTAGATATTTTAAATATGCTCTTGTTACATTCACCTGATTGTGGGTCAAGTTTTATATAAAATATTTATACCTTTTGAGCCACCTAATTAAAGCATTTCATATTTTTACTTCACTAGAAGTTAGATCTAATGGCTGGAAGAAAGCATTGTTGCTCTGAGGACAGTTACTATGGCAAACACAGGTGTTGATCAACATCATTGGCTTTTTTAAGACCTTGCCATGAGGACAGCGGAACTCGACCTGGATCGTTTTGGTGTTGTGTGGGGTGCAGCATCGCCCATCGTTGCAGAGGCCACAGTAACGAGGTTTGTATGTCTGCACACTTGTGCAGTTCTTGTACTCAAAGTGAATGGCTTTCAGGGACTTCTTTGTTCGGATACATTTTTTCCCTTTCTAAGAGAAATATGAAGAGACATTAAATATATCATAGCATAAGACAAAATGCAGTTAAAAACTGACATGCAAGGATGCCGATCAACTCTGAAAACTTGTGTTTGTTGTCTTTGCTAGTTCTACACCAATAAGACTCTGCAGCTACTTCACTAGTTACCAGTTCTCACTCCTTTGAGGTCTGTCCTGGACATCTTAGTTCACATATTACATATGCCAGTAATAAATGACAAATAATAGATTACACTCTATTAAAACCCACTGCTGTCATCTGACCACATGCTAAGACAAGCCAACATTCATCATCAAACTATACTCCACCAGAAAACTTCTCAGGCTAGTGTGGTTCCATCAGAGAAATGGGGAGCCAAATAAGTAAGATACAGGACTAGGTTCAGGGAAAAAGAGGGCCAAAAGGAATCTCAAAAGTCATTGCCCATTCTTGTGACTCAAGGCAAGATCAGCCTTACTCATGTCATTATTAATACATGTTTGTCTAACGTTTTTCTTAGAAGCCTCCAGGGAGACTCCACAACTGCCTCAGACAATCCTAATAGGTAGGTGTTCACTACTCTTACTGCTTAGAAGGCTTTTGCTTATGTCTTAATTTTTACGCAGTCTAAAGCTCATCACTTCCTGTCACATCCACCATGGACTCAGAACAGGCTGCAATATCTGAACATGGTTATGAGAACTCATCTCCATTCTCTTGCTTTCAGTATCAGTTCAATCATTTCTTCCCAGGAGAACATGTATCCTAGACCTCTGAACATTCTTGTTACTCTCTCCAACTCTTTACAAATGTTTCACATCCTTCTCAACACAGTGTTCAAAATTGCACAGAGCATTCTGCTAACCCCTCAGCAACATTTTCCATCACCCAGGGCATTACGTAAGCTGATGGCCCTCTTACGTAGCTATATTTTATTCTCACTGACAGTGAGAATGTGTAACGTGTAGAAGCAGCAAAAAAGGCAGCTCGCTTAGATACGCATTTTTTGCACCTGAAGTGTTGGTGCTGGATTTGCTTTTGGAAAAAGCTCCATGAGGATTAAGATAACGCTCAATTTACCCAAACACTTTTTGCAAGGTTTTGTGCATTTGTCTGCAGTTCCAGGACACCCAACAGACTAGAAACATGACACATCCATTCCCCATGACTGGAGCAGCTCTGAAGTACACACACAGGGAGTACAACAGCGCTTTTGGGAGATGTTACGACTGCATGAGCTGCCAAGACAATCCACACATGCAATACATCTGATCTGGTTGGGATGGTCCAAACAATATGCATATGCTGTGCAATGCTAATGAACAGACAGGCAAGTCTAATGCTTTCCAGAAACACCGGGCTTGCTGCACATAGGCTAAAGGGTGTGTTTACATCCACTTGAATCTGGAGGACTCTACAAAGAAATACGCAACCCTAGAACTCTGCTGGAAGAGGCCCACTACCCTGTCCCTGCTGGCATCATACCTTATCAGATGGCTCTTCATTTTCACAAGGTCTCATCATGCAAAGCCGTGTCTGCTTCACCATCTCACATTGTTGATTTCTGTTGGTAACCCGGGTGGAAAAGCCCATGCCACAGCTTTTAGAACAAGCACTCCATTCTGTTGTCTGCTCAATGCAATTGGCGCTTGAATCGGACACATCGATCCCCAGGGTGGCCTCCTGTCTGTATGCTGGAGACAAAATCCCACAGAACAAGAAAGACTTAACGTGAGAATCCAGTACATATTTGAGCTCTTCTACATTTGGGAGGAAACAAATGAGATGATGAGAAAGAAAAAAAAAGTCGAAAATCTATGATTTTGACAGGTCTCAGTCATTTGAAAAGTTGCCTTTTTAGGAGCCTTGGACAGCAACTTTCTACATCTAAAGATCAACAAATAGGTGCATGTCAGTGTAATAAGCAGAATAAATTTCTGCCTTTCTGCCACAACCTGAATTAGAGAGAGAAGACAGTTTCTGTCCAGTCAAGTCCGAAATGGGAAGAACTACTCTCAATTTGTTAATCAAGTTTAGAAATCCACTTTAATAACTCATTATTCCGTATTCTTTTTAACAAAAATGCATCACCAATCTATTCTAAGTCACAAAAATATTGACATTAGATATGATTTGAGAGTGGCTGTATGATTTATATAAACTAACAGATAAAGTGTTTTGTTCCTACAGTCATAGTCACCCCACCTTATCAATTATTGACAGATTATAGTCAGGGTGGTATGAGGGAAGAGGGAAGTAAAGTAATTTCATGAGTTATCACAGCTACTCAAAGCAATCATTTATTCTGGTCATTGTTCTGCCCTCCCGGTAGTGTTTAAGTTGTATTATGGAAATATTGCCAACTTTACAGTTTGGTACAGCAGTTATTATAGGAGTAAATAGAGTGAGCCAACATGACGGAGCCAGCCAAGTGCAGCGAGTTGTGTCACCCTTACGACTCTTGCTGATAAGCTTCTCCCCAGCCGCATTCTTGCCTTCTTGCAAGGTAAAGCTCCAAAAAGGCGGACATCCAAGAGGGATGACCATGGCCAAAAATAATGTAGGTAATCTACCTACAGGCATGTTATGGATTGGCCTGTCACTGTCAAAAAACAAAAGAAGAGGAAAGATGCTATAAAGTGACAACATGTTAAGTTATGCCTTACGTGCCTCCCATCCGACATTTCACAGCATTCTGCAAAGTTATTAGAGCTTATCGTCCTGGATCCTTCTTGCTTGTTTTTTTGAAATGGATTAGCTGTGCTGCAGCATAGCTAACTGCTTAAGACCGCACAGAGCAGTGACTGGGAGAGAATGCAGTGCCCTTGACTCCCAGTAAAAGCAGCTTTTGGAAATTCCTGTTAACCGGATAGTTTAATTTAAAGGGGAGGGAGACATAATTCAATAAGAAGAGATTGGGGAAAAGTGCAAAAGCACTTATGAGTTCTGTTTTTTGGAATAGGATGTTTTTTTTCAGATCCACTAACTGTGCCTACAAGCATTGCTTCTCCAAGTACTTTGTAATGCTTTTAATGCCAGCAATAATGATGAGAGCTCTAGCACAGACAGACAGGAATTTGTTGGCATTTTCGCTAGCATGCTGACCACTAGTAATAGCTGGGGAATTTAGGGGGAAAAAAAAAAATCTCTTGTAAACCAGGCTGTGTTGAATGGTATTTAAGACGTAACATATTCTTGCAGAGCAGCTAGCAAGACTGAAGCTTTGATTTTTGGAGGAAGATAATGTTTGGAGGATTATGAGCTTGTCCCCACTTTATTCTACTCACGGAACTACTCTATATCAGATAAACAGCATTTCCAGAACTGGGTCCTAACTCAAGTTAATTATTTTTTAAAACATTTATTCTCTGAATATCTTTTCTTCAGTTAAAAAAATTCTGCTTTTACTCAGAACCACTGGTCTACTCATTAGTTGCTCTAGATGAGAAAAAGAAAAAACAAAAAAAGGGTCAGAAAAAGTCCACAGCATAAAGCAGGATATGGTAAGCCCATGGACATTCCCAGCACGCTATCACCCTCCCCTCACGATGACTGTGTTAATTATAGTTTCCTCACCAGCCATAGCAAAACCTCCCAAAATCACTTTGTCTTCGGGGTCGCAGACCCACTTCTCGCAGCACTCTCCGGGGACTTCGATTTTTCTCGGGAAAGGGCAGTCGGGGCCGGGGAGCAGCAGGGCCAGGCTGCAGCGGGGCAGGCAGCCGATCTGCCCGTC